GCTGACACTGAAGATCAACTGAATTGTTAAAGTTACTTTAATCGATTTTGATGATTGAGAATGTTAAGATTCGCTACACCGTGATAATGCGTTGTCGACTATCCCCGGGTACCTCAAATGGTATCTCTTTAGTGGCTAGATCGTTAGACATTCCTCTCCTTAAAGCCTGTTGTTTGCTCATTGATGCCTATGAATCATCTTCAAGGAATTTTTCCTTTTAAAGTGCAGTAACCGTTGCTTTAGAGCAAAGCTGTTGTAAAGCTGCGAATACAATGGGCATCACCAGCCACAAACCTTCTGCATGTTTAAACGGCTTGCAGGAATGATCCCAACAAACGACAGAACATCACTTGTGTTTGGAATTATTTCTAGCATTCGTCACTGTACGTCCGGCAGAGGTGGTGACGCTAAAAGTGCTTCAACGTCATTATAGCTGCCAATTCTCGTTTGACATTCTTGTCAACGTCCGGGATGGAACAGGGAACTCTCGCGGAACCCTGTTTCAGCCATCAGCTCGTCAAGTAGTCATTTTTCCTTGGTAAGCGGGCACACTGCCACGTTATCAAATGCTCATTAACGATGCAGACCATGTTGCTGCACAGAGATTCGTCTCTTTGGCGATGCGGATACTTCCATGAATGATGATGTCCTTCGAATCCGGCGACGAAAAAACGGCTGGCCACGATATTTAACTTATATTGTTAAGATTTCAGGCGACTATCTTTCAAAGATCTGACCGCTATGAGGTAAGAGAAAAAATCGATCCCAAGCCTGTGGTGCTGAAATGGCATAGGTGATGTCCGTGACTGATTTGGAGTACCGGTGCAGAAATGCAACAACGAGCAAAATTGCCCAAATTTCGTATCTTTTGTCTTTTCTGACGAAGACCAAAGTTAGGGAAACGAACTCTGGCCTAAAGCCACAGCCGGATTCAAATTACCGGGTATGTCTTTGAATGGCACGAAGGCGCTTTCTTTCGGAACTGTGTGCCCTCCTGGACGAGGATGCAAACTGCAACATGGCAATTCGTCAGAGTTTTCGAACAAAATGAGTTTAGTTGAGAAATTTTGAGATAAGCCGCACCTCACCAACTCAACGAACCGGATACTTGTTAAAAATCTGTCATTTAGCCGTTTGGTTAGTTACCACCTGTGAATATGAAAGTTGCATCATCAGAGAAAAATTAGACACGAGTTCCATAAAACCTTAAAAATAGTAAGGTGTAGACAACTGGAACCAAATTCATTGAAGGATCTGAAAACTAGCCAATCATTCTTAAAGTAAGTTGACGTTCAGCGGTTGACTTAAAAAATCATTCATGAATGAACTCAATAGCGTTTTGTTCACATGATCAGGATGAACTCATGAAGAAACAATAGAGTCGTCAAGGTCAACCGTTGGATGGAGACCTAACGAAAAGTCCAATCGATGCTGAATGGGTGATACTGATGTTTCGATGTGTGAAATACAAACATCTGTCAATTTGTTGTTCTAGTAAAATAATAAGGAAGAAGCACGATGATGAATATACCCAACGGTAAATCTATGACATGCAAACTAAGTTTTCAGTTAAATACCTAATTAATTTTAATAATCAGTGTATGAATTACGTTATGTAAACCGTTCCACACTATTGGTAGTACAAACAATATGCAAAACAAGTCAAATCTGTAGTTTTTGCCATCTTCAGCATGTTGTTATGCTAATTCGTACATATTTACAAACCGCGTTCTCAGATCTGCATTGACCACCCTGTCTGAACGCCTTACAACAGTGGTTTAACGAGAAAAAAAATTAATTTTGAATCGAAAGTTCCTTTAGCCGGAAAATCTGATTG